TCTCCAATATGTGGTCGGAAACAAGTTCCCCACTGTAGACAGCTGCTTCACTTGCTCTTCACTGAACATCATGTCACTGCACGCAATCAAACCAGCGATATTGTTGCCTGCCCACACGCATGTCTTGATATCTGCATCAAGTTCCGGAAGGTCATGTGTCTGCAAAAACCAATCGAGGTACTCCATGATGAGTCCCGTTTGCCATGCCTTACCGGTGAAGTGCACGTACCATCTGTTTGGAAACCTTCTGGCTCCATGGTTCTTTGCTCAAGTCTTGATGAGCAAGGATGCGTGTCTCATTCTGGCATCCACCTGGCAACAGCACATCTACTTAATTCACTTCATCCCAAAAACTATTCAATCGTGACAGGCTGACCTTGCCACCGACAAAGACACCCTGTGTTCTCAGCATCACAACCAATGTGCTCGCCGCAATATCGCGAGCCACTCCCAAGTGAAAACAATGCATCCAATCAATGCTAACCTTCTTCATGTTGAAGTGACCAAGTTCCGCAATTGATGGCTTGCGGAAATGCACTTCTGATGGATCATGTCTTGATTGTCTCCACGCCACCACTAGAAAGGTCTGTACAAGCAAACTCAATGCTTTTGCTTGCAGGGCATTGCCAGCAAACTTGGTTAGTGCCAGCGTGGTGTCTCAAACACAGCACTTGCGTCAACCACTCACCCTTCAGGGCAACAGACTCACCTCGCAAACCACAAACTGGACTGGAGGACCAACTGTCAAGAGATTCCACAATGCAGCCGATTGCTGCTTGAAGTGTCTCATTTATCTTCCTCTTTCGGTCATTTGGAACCAGACTCATCAAGTACAATGGCACAGGTAAAAGGCAAATGAGAAAACGGGAGCATGAACTGAAACTCGCAAATGGTGAGTTTTCTGAAGACCAAGCTATGCACATATAGCTCAGACCATCAAAAATAGTCGCTTCATCTCCATAGAGTCCTGTTGAGCCTGGTGTGGTCAAAGTGGTCACGCAGAACATCCCAATAGGTTTGGTCTGGAAAGCCCAGAACATTACGATGCCCGGACTTGAGCAAAGCTTCAACCTTAGCAGCCAGCTCCAACCAATGTAGTCGCTCACGCAAGCAGCATACATTGAATCACACATGAGTCCCAAACCATGCGATGAGGTAGAATCATGGGCCAATTGCGGACTTCTACCTGGCCGTCTTCATTCTGAATGGGTATTTGGCGCCATGTAATAATATCTCGGAAAGCCAAGCCGGTGGTCATCAGTTTCTGATGAACTCTCTCATCTTTTCTCATGGTTTTCCTTAACGCAGTTCATGGCCCCAAGGCTAACATGGGCCTCCATGCAACACACTACATTGGCTCCGAGACACGGGAAAACATCCGAGTGGTAGACATGGCCAAGACGTGCAGCTGAAGCCAAGCTAGTGGAGCCTTGGCCTACTTCTGCTGCCAGCCTGCAAGAAAATCAATCATGAATCAAGCCCGGTGACTCTGATCGATCCAGCCTTTCATCCAGAGCCTGTCTCAAAGCCGCTCCTGCATTCGTACCTGACCAAGAGAAAGAAGCATCAAATTTTTTTGAGTTCTAAACATGACACGCGAAAGCTACAACGCAGCCACACAAGGACAGTGTTTTCCTTCTCTCTGCGTGTCATGAGTCTCATGCTTGTGCATGAACCCTTCTTCATGGGCACTTGGCTTGTAGCCTCCCAAAAACCCCAAACGATTCAGCATCCCGCCAGACTAGCTCATCAGCTCTCTCACTGGGAGTACCCCCTGGCACGACACACACACACACACACACGCCGCTAGAAAGAAGCGAATTCTCACGGAAATCCAAATGTGCCAGCAACACTTCTTGTACTCACGGAAAGACGCTGTCATCTCAGCTCGCTTCATGCGGCTGTCAGTTTCACAAAGCAAACCCTGACATGAAAGACTTCAGTTTCCAGCCGTCTTGGTAATACCCTGCAACTTCTGCTGAAACTGCTCTTCGGTCCCGATGGAGTCTTCTGTCAAACTGGCCGGCGGCGGCAGAAACATGAGCCAACCAGGTACCCAGAAACACATGTCATGTGACACACCTGTCAAAGTGTGACTTCATGGACACAACAAACTTCTTCAGCATCTTGACACCATCTTCGAAAAGCTTCAAGTCGCCCAAGTCCAACTGCAGTGAGTTCAACGCTTGGATCTCCTTCTTGACTTCATTTCCTTCAGCGCACCAGCACACATGAAACATCCCTTTTGCTCCAGCAACTAGACATGATGCATTCCAACAAAAAATACCATGAAGACATGCGAGGTTCGTGCCATGTTGATTTTTTGCGGCAAGTTTTCCCTGCCAAAGCCATCCCCAAAGGGCCCTTGTTGGCACCACCAGCCTTGGGCTTGGCTTTGGGCTTTGCGCGACCTCCAACCCATTCAAAAAAGTTTCGCAAAAAACACTTTAAAGAATCACTCGCCTCCTGCAGCTGCTGGGGCAGGCTGTGGCAGCACTTGGGCCCCAGGTACAGGCACCGAGCCCGCTTGTGCCATGACATTGGCCGCGTCCACTGGAACAGTCTTCGCAGCCTTTGCACATGTGGTCAAAGCTTGAACCGCTGAGGCAGCAGTAACCTGGGCGCGGACTGTGCTCCTCAGCTGGGTCACATCGCGAGTGGTTTCGGTCTCGAAGGTATGTGCCCAAAAAACGCATAGAGGCCATGTCCGTAGGACAATCTTCATCTGGAACCCCGCCTTTCTGCACACATGCATTGATCCTGGCCTCAGAGAAGCCGGCCTCACGCATTTCCTTCCCGGTCATGAGTTTACGCTCACCTTTCCCCTCCACCTCATGCATCTGCTCAGCAGTGAACTCTTGTATCCGTTCTCAACGAAACGGCGGATCACATCATGTTGTTCTGCAGTGGTTCCGTTGAATGCTTCTGTAATCTGTGGAAATTCCACAGCTCGAGGCCCCTGGGCAATCCGCTTCAGCTTGTTGTACTCTTTCTTGAAGAACGTACTGTTGTAGACTATCTCGCCCTCAGGACCAAATCCTTCAACATCCAACTCTGCTGCCCCAAAGGGTTTAGTTGGATCCACCAGCTCCCCCACTTCACCCTCATCCCCTGCAGCGTCAGCCTGTCGCTCACGAAGCCTGACGTGACAGAAGCCGCACGCAGGGCTTTGCGTTACAAAAACATGTTTGACAGTGTACGCAAACACTTGTTGATACCTAAGCCCGGCGCTGGTGCGCCATTTGTTCTAAATAGTCTGGAGTGACAATGTCAACATCCATCTCTGGGTGAGCATCTCGCAGGAGCTGCTGACCACGAAGGAGGGTCGCCAAAGACCTGTCACAAGTTGAATTCTAGAGACACATCTGCAGAGATACTGGAAAAGACCCAGCCTGCAGGAAACACCGCGCTGCAAACCATGACCTTTTGGTGCATCCTACCAGGACAACAGGAACAACACAAACCTATTGAAAGAGATGCTATATGATTAATTTCAGGCCTCATCAAAGCGCTGCGACTTCAGGCCATTAGAGTCCTCTTCGAACAACTTCCGCTTGGCGCCCGGGGTGACAAGAGGTGCTTCAGGCACCTGTTCCGGACTCACCAAACCAAGTTGGTTGTCAGGCTCTTCAGGAGTTTCATCCGGTACTTGGATGACAGCCTGCTCAACCATTTCACCATCTACCAGAGTGTCTTCCACCTCTGGCTGGGCTGGAGGGATCTGGCTGGGCTGGCTGGGCGGCTTAGAGGCATCCTTTCTCTGGTCCTCACCTTCATTGCCAGGCTGCTCTGCAACCTTTGCCTTGGCCTTTGCCCTGGCTTTTGGCTTTGCCGACTTCCGGTATTCATCCATGAACTCTTTGCATTCCTCTTCAGACATGCCAGTGGCTTGAGCAAGTTGCTTGAAGGTAGGCAAGCGCCCCTTCGCGCTGGTCAACTCAGTCACACACTGAGCGATCATGTCATGTGCTTCATCGGCCATGGCAGCACACACGAGCACTCAAACACCGCACACGCGAACTAAGTGGTTTCAAGAAGCCAAAAACACTTTTTACACCAAGTTGGAACAGTCACATGTCCATGTGAGATCCATCCCGGGTCTATCCCGACGGAGTGGGGGGGATATCCACAATATCCCGGTTTCATCCCGGGTCAACTTGTTGCAACTCCCTTGCCAATCATGAGACCCTTTCAAGGCCCTTTCACGCTTTTCAGCACGTTCCACGTGACTGTCTTGCCACAGCTGCCAGAGCAGGCATGACATACTTCCTCCATCTCTCAGGCGGTTGAAACTTTGAGGTTGCAGTGATATAGCTGAGCGCCTCCGTGATCTTTGCCTGTAAGACAACAGGGCACGAACACAGGGCATGACCTTCTGAACACATGTTTACATGTTTCATGCACATGTTCACACATAACATGACAAGACATGACTTCATGACATGACATGACATGACATGATATGACTACATGTGAGGATCATGAACTACATGACATGACATGACTACATGACACGACTACATGACACCATGAACTGAGGCCCCGACGTTCTTCCAACAATCCGTTCCCTCAAAAGCGATCTCCTGCACACTTGCATCCACCATCCACGTATACACAACCACACAGTCCCTGCTTCACCGTTCATGTCAGCACAGTCCCCATTCTGCTGTGGCGGTTGCCCATCAAGCTCCTCTTTCGAGCCTTAGCTTTCCTGAGCGCGTTGGAGTTCGAGTTAGTGCATTTCTTCATTGCCGGTGAAAGGAGTTCACCCCCTAGTGGTCCTAGGAGTACGAACCAACGCAAATCGGAAGTGTGCTTCTGATGACTCGTAAAAGTTCATGGCTTCCCCACCTCCCTCTGCAAACGGTGAAAGAGGAGTGAGCTGCGCTGTAGTCGACTGACCTGAATGTATATATATATATATGTATATCTTAAGTATAAAGCGAGGGAGTGCGAGTAAGAAGAGAGCCGAAGAGAGATTGAGAGGTTTCTGTGCCTGCAGGTTCCAAAAGGCTGCTTTGTGGGTGTTCGAGTAGGAGAAGTTTTGAAACAGCGTCGACTGGATTCCAGGCAGCGCATTGGCGCACGCGGTTGCATGATATTTACATCAAGACTTCAGACTTGTCAAGTGTCAGGAGCAGTTCTCAAGAAATATGGTTTTGTTTCCTCGTGTTGATTCAGTCTCAGGGAGCGCATTGGCAAGGCGTGCCCCCACTGAGGTCAGCCAGCTACACATTCCCAAAGCCAGATACCAAAATGATTCTGGGTTGCACTTTTGTTCTGAGTTGTTCGGCCAGCTGCCATACGCATTGAATACGTCCAGCATGATGCAGCTGCAGGAACGCAAAGATCGACGTTTACCAGCACGAGCCTGCCTGAGAGTGTCAGCGGAGTCTGTGAACAGCTAGCTTGCTTTGTGCAATCGGGTGCAGTGCTGCATGCAATTACATGGCAGGGCTCGCCCCAATGGCAGATTTTGTGAGGTTGGGTCTGGATCAGTCGTCATCGATCCGAAGTTTTTCACTACCGACGAGGTATCCATTCGCTGTGGCACACCTGGAGCGCAGAGCTGCTGTTTGACGGTGAGAGGCACTCAACGAAATACAGTAGTCAAAAGGTCAACGTCCATCAATATGCTGACCGTGTAAACGTTCAACTTTGAGATGTCGAAGATCTGATCAGATCAGCATCAATCAACCAACCAAGTTTGTTCTTGCAATGAAAATGAGACAATGAAGCGGTGCCATTGGCCATGCGGCGCCCCGATGGTAATGCAGGTGGTGCGTGGGACCTTTGAAGCGGGTCATGCGGTTTTGTGTTCTGCTTTAATTGATTTCGCGTATTAAGGTCATGACGTTTTGATGCAGAACATCAGGCGCAAACATGCGTTTATGATGCATTGTTTGAATTTTTTATAGTAGCCGATCCTTGCACATGCCGAATGCTTTGCATGTTGGCACCTTCTCGTTAGACTAGGACATTTTTGCTGTTGTGGAAGAATATATTTATATTTATATTTATCTCAGTTTGTTGAGGCTACAGGTCACCTCTCAAGTTGCACAAGCATCTGCTGAGGAAGGTGCTGGTGTTGTGGAGGTACTGCCTTCAAGCGCTGCCTGCCTTTGCCAGTCAGTTTGCATCCAGTCGTTGATGGTACAGTACATAAGTTACATAAACATATAGCTTTGTTTTTCTTCAATAATTAGGCAGCGTGTGCGCCTCACAGATGAGTCCTAAGTGGCGAGGAGCAGTGCCAGCGGCGACAAGCTGCTCAAGAAGAAAACAAGGTGCTGAAGCTGGATCCATTCTGGCGAGGGGTTTTCAATTGTTCTTTGTTTTGAAGACACTGAGGGCCACCCTTGGTGCGTGTTCATCATGCAAACAGCCAGACCTTGCAGTAGATTTGGTTTGCATATATATATTTATTTTTTGAATGCTGCAAGGAGTCTGCCCTGACTTACCTGACCGTGCATGGTATTGAGCAGACTCTCGCTGAATCGGTTCGCAGGATGCTGTGCCTTTGCTTGCACTGAAAGCACACTTTGGTACAGGAAATGGGGCCAGATTCTAAGTCGTCGTGTAGTTCAGTTAATGCATGTGTAGAAAGATGTCAAGAAGTCAAACTTTCTAAAGACAGTTTCCTACGACCTTTCACAAGTTGTCCAACATTTATGCTTTTTACTGTTTGAGTTTGAGAGTCATTAGAAGAGAGAGACAGAGAGAGAGAGAGAGAGAGAAATTACATGCCCAGGACGATGCAGCCCGAGGTGCACAACTTGTGGGCGTTGCTTAAAGTAATTGCTGCTGAACCAAGCCTACTTAGGGTCGGCACTCTTTCCTTCTGCGGCCCACAGCCCACACAAAAGTCGAGCGCAGGCCCGCCCAGGCTTCCACTTTAGCAGCTAGCATTTACAAACACTGACTTTCTCCAAGATTTGGCTGCCACCAGGACCCCATCGAGTTCCTCTGCAACCAATTGAAGAACTCCAAGCCAAAGGCTTGTGCGACGTCCTGAGTTGTAGGAACAAGGAGTGGATTTGTGCGGTGGGTTCATTCAGCCACCGTGTTTTTCACACCACTCTCTTGTGGCATTTTGAATGGTTTCTATCTGCTCTCAGAATTATGCAAACCTTGATAGTCTACAGAGCGCCTTTTGCGTGCAAATGCAGCTGTGACCGGCAGCCTTTGTGGATGCAACAGTGAGATCTCCACTCGACCGAACACAAGCCTTGTGCAACTAGAAGGATCTAGAAGGGGCCCATGTCGGACGAAGAACGCGGACGAGCAGTGATCCAACTTCACATGATTGAAAGTGCCGATTGAAGTTAGCTAGCGGATGACTTTGAATGCTGGTTCAGTTTGGTTCTTGAGACATGTAATCTAACGCCCCACTTGAAACGCAAACAACACAGAAAGGAACATCACCCACCAAATCCACCGGTCCTTGATTGAAGCAACGAAACAGCAAAGGCGCTGGCCTCCCCGGACCCTAAGCTAGTAAGCCACAATCCGTACAACCAAAATGAGACTATATGAACAACAAAATGTCAAAGGTGCGAAGAGGACGCTACTAGGAGCAAAGGGCATCGCTACTAGGAGCAAGGACGCTACTAGGGGCTCCTGGCCTCGCTACTAGGAACAAGGACGCTACTAGGAGCTTTTTTCGCACTTTCAACTTTTCGGAGTCAGATGTCAGATGCCCTGCCTTTCTTGGAGTCGTTTTTAATGCTTTTCTTTTCAACTTGACGTTTAATGCTGTTTTAAACTTTGCAGATTGTTTGGATTCAGATGCCAGACGCTTTTCGAGCGGTTTACTGTTCACACTGTTCGTTCTTCTCGGCTTTTAATATTTTGTTCGCACTTTTTCACTCTGCGATTTAGATACCAGGTGCTTTTCGAGTCTGCTTCTTTGGACTTTCCGAAGCACGTTCCAGACGGGTTTGCAGTCTTTGATTTGGTCGGGCGCTCTTAAATGTCTCTTAAAATGCGTATGTACAAACGGCCCCGTTCGTAAAGGAGAGGTCTTCATGTTGACTCTGTTTTGTCCGCAGCTCGGCTCAAAGCTCATGCAGCACAGCTGGGGCCACACGCAGGGGTGCCAGTGTGGACTCTGTCCCGCTGTGTCACGTCTGCTGCGCGTGGTGGCCACCGGCTCGCAGCTGCCTGGGTTTGTGGGCTACGCAACTTTGCGAGTTCGCAACGTGCTGGGTGAGCTTCAGGACTACATCGAAGCGAACCCACCGGTGGCAAGGGAGGGTGCGGCACGCCCTCCTCCACCACAACCTGTCCGGCCTGGAGGACGACCCGTTGGAGAACCTCTGAGAGACACCAGGCCAGGTGACGACAGGGTGAATTCGAGCAGGGCATCACCACGAAGAGAAGAGGGCGAGAGGAACGAGATTGACAGGGGCATCGAGAACAGGAACGAGGCATCAAGGGGCAGGTCAGCAGAGCGAGATCGAGATCGTGGAGGACGACGAGAGGAGGTTGAGGCAAGAGACAGGCCATTGCATCCCAGGAGGGAAGTACCACCGGCTGAAGCCAGAAGGAGCCTGTCAGCCAAGTCCAAGTCAGCAGCCCCTCGCGATCCACGAGAGCCATCAGAGGAGCCAGAGACCAGAGTCAAGAGAGAGGAGGAAGCAACCGAGGTTGAGGACACTACGCCGGGTGTGAGGGAGGTCGCATCTGCATCTCCTCACCCGGAAGAAGCGGAGGAAGTCAGGTCAGAGGAAGAGAAGAAGAAGAAGCGCAGAAGGCGAAGACGCCGTGAGTCCAAGTCGGAAGAAAAGAGGTTCGGCCGAACAACCCCTTGTTGAGGAGGCCTCAACCACCCCCTGCAGATCGTGACCGCCAGGGGACCAACAAGGGAGTCAAGAAGACAGAAAGGCAGTTGGACTTTAAGCAGTTCCTTGAGGTGAAGAAGTTTCTCAAGGACAAGGAGCGGAAGCACCGTTGATGCCTCCTCGCCCACTGGCTAGGCCAGCGGCGGACGGGAGACGCGTGAGGAGGTTGGTTGGAGGGTTGAGGAGACCTGCCATTGCCCCTGAGGAGCGGCCCGGCTTTGCAGACGGTGGGGAGATTGAGGTGAAGGACATCCCACTAGGGGAGTGGACGCCCGGGCTTTCGATCCTATGCCGAGGAGTATACTGGGGTCGGGAGATCCGGCTGGCTGTGGACATGATCAATGAGAGGCGCCCTGGAGCTGGAAGGCCGAGTTTCCGGGACGGAAGACGAGGCCCTCTTACGGTGGGGGTCGAAGGAGGAGGTGAAGGGCAAGGTGAGGCTTCACGTTTGCCCGTCCAGCTGTTCGAATACACCGGAAGCAGATGGTTTGATCCACCTCAAGTATGCCCAGAGGAGGGGAGACCACGATCCCGCCTGGGCTTCGAATATGAAGAGTTCAGGGGGTTTGGAGGAGTTGAAGCGGCTTGCCAAGGAGTCAGACAAGGAGGCGAGAGAAGCCGGGAAACGCGTACGGGAGGGGGAGGAGTACACTCCCTCGCAACCCCCTGGCAAGGAGGAGAAGGGGTCTTCATCGAGTACGAGTTCAAAGAAGAAGCGAAAGAAGAAGAAGAAGAAAAAGAAGCCGTTCAAAGTGATCGCAAAGAAGGACTATCAGCGGCTCTTCGAGACGACGGGGCTCGACAAGGACGTGAAGATCCGAAAGAAAGTGGCCAAGTTAGTTCGAAAGGCCATGAGAAAGAAGGCAAAAGGGAGCTCAGAGGAGGACAGCTCATCGACATCGAAAGAAGACGACGCCGAGGAGATGGAGACCCTCTTCCAAGAGTCCCAGCGGACTCAACTAGCCGCCAAGGCGGGGCCAGGTTCACTGACGGCTCACGCTGTGCGGCAGATGAGGCGCCAGATGCTGACAACCATGGGCCAGGACATCGAGGAGAACAGCCCTATTCAGCCCGTGGCATTACAGTTTTATCGCCAGATTCTGCGGGAGAAGCTTTCTCCCATTATGAGTCGCGAGGTGATGAACCTGGCCACAGTGATCGATGCATTGCTGGAGGGGAGAGTGGCATTCCCAGCCGACGTAGCTATTCAGCGTGTGAAGGCCCTAGAGGCCATCAGCAACGGTGCATCGTGGGTAGTAGCCCAACGGTACGAGCTGTGCCCGCCCGACTTGGGACAGCTTGCATCGACCTCGGAGGCAGCCGCCGCAGCCAGGGAGACCAAGGAGGAGATCCGAACCAGGACACTCCAGAAGGGAGGCTGGGATTCAAACCAGACTCCTTGGAGGGGAGCAAAGGGGGATGGCAAGAAAGGAGAAGGCAAGAAAGGAGGAGACAAGGGGAAGAACAAAGGTGCCAAGGGAGATCGCGATCGCCCAAAGGGGGAGAAGTCCGACAAATGAAGACTACCTGCGCTTCAATGGATGATGATGAAATCTCTGAGGAGCTCTGGAGACTGATGGATGAAGCTTTGAATGGAGAGGATGCCGAACTATGCCCTGTTGATGGTGAGCCCAACCGCCAGATGAGGAACTATGAATCTGGTGTGGAGTCCTATGGAGGACGCTTTCGTACAGCGGCAAATCCCGGGGGTGCCGACCTGGGTGGCCGAAACCTTGCACCGTCCGAGAAGGATGAAAAAAGAGATATGGGGATGGGAGCGCGCCGCGTTGACTCGTTCGTCGATGGGTGGGTCGAAGGGTTGTCATGTTTTGTGCTAAGCAAGGCCCAGTCCACGGGGGAGATCCTTCCACTTCCCTCTGACGACCTTTTGGAACACCCTGTCCTTTTGAACGTCAACGACCAGGTGCGGAAAGTTTGTTGGGGCCTCATGAAGGCCTTGAATCATCTCTACGGTGCTGCACCTTCTGTTTCACTTCGTATCACAAAAGGTCATGTTGAGGTTTGCATGTTTTTACTTCAAGAAGCGCAAGATTTTTTTGGATCGGGTTCCTGAGTTGAAAAGTCTCAGCTGGAGTGAGTATTTGAGGGTCAAAACTATTGATTACAAAGGTGATGAAGTGCGTTTGGCACAGACCACCAGCTGGGAAAACGTCAAGAGTGCTCTCCCTGATGAGATTGGGAGAGTCCCACTTGAGACGGTTGTTTCAAAGGGATCGCACCATTATGTGATGAATTTTGGGAGCTACCTGTTGGCAGAGTCCGACCAGGTTCATACTCGTGCTCCTCGGGTCATGGTGGAAGACTCGCAGTGGGAGCGAATGTGCAAGGGGTTGCTTGAGAAGGGGGTTTGTGGTCTGATCGGGGAGGACGCGGTTTTCCGAGTGCAGGGCAAGTTGTTGCTGAACGGCCTTTTTGGAGTTCCCAAGGACGAGGACGCCCAGGGCACCCCGGTTCATCGCCTTATTATGAATCTGATACCTCTCAACCGTATTTGTCGACCAATGTCTGGGGACATCAGCACACTTCCCGCCTGGCCTTCGATGCACCCCTTTGCACTAGGCCCGGACGAGACCCTGATGGTGAGCTCTGAAGATGTGCGGTGTTTCTTTTACATATTCGCCGTGCCCTCAGAGTGGTACCGCTTCCTGGCGTTCGCAAAGGTTGTTCCCCCCACACCTATGCCCTGATCAGGAGCAAAACTACTTTCTGTGTAGCAGGGTCTTGCCTATGGGTTTCTGCAACTCCGTGTCACTTGCCCAGCACGTGCACCGTACCATCGTTGGAGAGGCGGTCCGTGAGTGCGTGTCTCGTGGGAGTAGGACTGGCTGGGAGGCAGAACATCGTAAGGACCGAAGCTTTTCCTGGAGCAACCCCTCTTTCCGTGTTTACCTGGACAACTTTGACATGTTGGAAAAGGTGGACTCCCGGACAGCCGACCGCATCCGAGGGGAGACACCACCGCTTGTTGAAGCATTGAGGGAGGCCTATGGTCAGCTACAGGTCCCACGACACCCCAAAAAAGCAGTGGTTAGGTCTACGAAGGCTGAGGTTCAAGGAGCTGAGGTTGATGGTTGGAGGGGATCCGCTGCGCCAAAGGCGGAGAAGGTTTCAAAGTATCTCCACTTGTGTCACCTGTTGCTGGAAAAGGGCCGGGCCACCCAGCGTCAAGTCCAAGTCGTAGCAGGAGGGTTCGTTTACTTTGCAACCTTCAGGCGACCTTTGTTGGGAGCACTGAACTCAGTATGGAGGTTCATCCAAAGCTTTGAAGAAGGACCATTTGTGCAGGTCCTGCCTCGGGAGGTACAGGTTGAGTTGTGTCGTTTCTGCCTTTTGGTTCCATTGGCTCGCATGGACTTCCGCTTGGCGCTCTCCAGCACGGTTACCGCTTCGGACGCTTCCACTTTTGGAGGGGGAGTCACCGCAACTTCTGGGTTGTCGCAGCTAGGTGCAATAGCAGCAAACATGCCCACTCGGGGCGACATTGTTGAGGTGGATGATGTGCCGACCGTCCTCACAGTCGGGCTTTTTGATGGCATCGGCGGTCTGCGCGTTGCAGCAGATGCCGTTGGAATGTCGGTGGTAGGACATGTGTCTGTTGAGTGTCATGAGCCAGCTAACCGGGT